ATTCTGCATCTGTGAAGAGGTAACCCTGGCTGTACGTACAGACTGGGGGGATGAGAGCAGTCCCAAGAAAAGCAAGATGAATAAGAGTCATGAGAATGCCCTGACAGCCAGGAAGGCCAACAGCATCCAGGGCTGCCCCAGGCCCAGCACTGCCAGCTGGGCAAGAGGAGCGGCTGCCTGCTGCACTCTGCATAGCCTCAACTCCAGCACTGAGCATGGGTTTGGATGCCACAGCACAAACAAGACGTAAACTACCAAAAGGCGTCCAAAGGAGTGCTACAAAATAGTGAAGGGTCTAGAGGGCAAAGCGTGTAAGAAGCAACTGAGGTCCCTGGGTTTACGCAGAGCAGAAGAGCTGAGGGGAGGCTCATGGCAGCTGCAGCTCCTCACAGGAAGCAGAGGAGCAGCGCTGAGCTCTGCTCTCTGCTGACAGAGGCCTAAGGGAATGGTATGGAGCTGTGCCAGGGGAGGGGCAGCTGGGGATTAGGGACAGGGTCTGCACCAGAGGGCACTGGGTATAGAACAGGCCGCCCAGGGCAATGGGCACAGCCCAGAGCTGTCAGAGTTCAAGAAATGTTTGGACAGTGCTCTCAGACACAGTTTGATTTCTGGGTGCTCCTGTGCGAAGTCAGGAGTTAGATATGGTGATCTTTAAGTGTCCTTTCCAACTCAGGATGTTCTATCATCCCACGTAGAGTCCTATCCCTAAACCATGCCTCTTAGTGCTATAGCCACACATCCCTAAAACAGTTCCAGGAACGGGGACTCCACCACTTCTCTGGGCAGTCCATTCCAATCAGTGACCACCCTCTCCATGAAAAAAATCTTCTTAATATCCAATCTAAACCTCCCCTGTAGAGAACATCTCATATCTTTAACCACAGGCAGACGACAACAGAGGATTCCTCAGCTGCGGAGGCACTGGCAGGCATGCAAACACTGCTTACTTGTACTGTGCCAGGAAATGGCAGACATGAACAGGTAGAGAAGTCCCTTCTGCAACCTCTTGGCAAGAAGTATCCAAGATGGACATTTAAAGTACAGTAATAACATTTAGCAGAATGTACAGAGGAGGTGGTTTACACTCTGTGCTTCCATTGACTATCCCAAAAATCCAGAGAAGTTTCACTACTTTCCTGTTAGGAAACAGTAGGAGAGCCTTACACAGATCAAGCTTTCAAGTCAGTCCTACTCAAATCATATAGATAAGCAACTGAAGAGGTTAGTTCTAACATTGCAAAGTGGGACAAACAGGCAATCTTCCCCATTTTTTTATGACCATTCTGAACTGCAGACTACATTTGGCATTTTCATTACCTCAAGAAACCTGTGGCACTGCCAGAAATGATTTGTTTACTTATAAAAATGTATGTTTCAGAAAAGTTAGAAGCAGAAAACTTAATTTATATGGTGCACAAGTCTTTCGCTAACCTAATTTTATACAGCATAAAAAAAATAAATCAGAATGGCTAAGGATATCTGTTTCTTATTATAAAACAAACCTACCATCATGTCAACTCTCAAACTGCACAAAATTCTACCTATATATATAATTTATAAGCCAGGGTCAAAATGGATAATAGAGTAGGAATACAAAATACTTTATTACAGGGCAGCCTGGAAAAAAGAATAGCTCTCTTATCATGAAACATATTTAGAAAACCAGTTCTGTAACACACGATCCACAGAACAGAGATACAGATGTCCTGTCATAAAGAATTCATTATTTACAAATATACTACAGAACACTCCATTTACAATGAAGTACCATAAATAATTCATGCTAAATATGCATCATAAGAGCAGACAGTTCCCCAAAACAGGCAGTGGCATTTTCTCCACCATTCTTATCAAGTGAAACAGAAGCTATGTGCAACAGGTACTGAATTTTCCTCAAATGATATCACTTCACTGCTCGAAGTCTCCCCCACCAGTATAGGGATTTCTACACAAGTATTGTCACTGCAGCCACAAGAAGCACTACTCACTTGTTTAAGGCATAAAATTGTGCACATTTTAATTTTATCCCTGTAAATAACACTGAACTCACAACTTCCATTCACTGCCTGTATACAGCGTTGCATAGCTCTACCTTGTGTTTGCTGCTTTGACCTGAAGAAGCAAACACAGAAGCAGACAGGAAACTCAAGCAGTGTGACCTCTATGTTTCTGCGGAAAATTAGGGCAGCAGTTATTGTACAAACTGTGCCAAAGACTTGACACAGTGATGGAAACGCTCCTCTACCTTAGATTAGATTAAGACAAATTTTATTTCTATATGTAAACAAACAGCCACCCTAAAAAAAAAAAAAAGAAGTCGTGAATGACATAGGTCATACAGATTCATTCTAATAGGTGGAAGATTCCTAGCGCATTAGGTTTTATTTTTCCATGACCCCTGCAGGCACACCTATTTCGCAAAAGATCAAGCAAAACCTGCATAAAGTACCTGACTGTAAATTCGTCTGGGGGTAGGAATAGTTGCTGTTTTACAAAGAGCATTCAATACTTAATTTTGCTTTCCATTCTACTTGAATGGTTCTTCTCCAGCAAGATAACTGCATGGATGCAAAACTTCATTTGTCTGAGTCCCTTCATCCTCCTGAAAATAAACAATCACAGAACTTATCCTGTTCTAACTACAGATGCCCCTCTTAACATGGACAGGTAGGCAGGACTAGATGCCTGTTTTCCCTCTTTTGAAAGCAACAAATTTGGCAAAGAAAAAAGAAACAACAAAACAAAGAAACACATCAGCCTGGTACTGGTAATAGGTAAAAGCACAAGCATCAGAAGTGGATACTGTGTCACCGCACAGCATCAGGTGATCCCCTGATCACTTCCACAGACCCTTCCACCTTTTCACAAACCCTGAAAGCAGAACAGACCACTGTGACCTTCCTCCCAAGATGGGCTGATGACCAGAAAAAACACATCAGCAATAATCCTTTTTGCTAACAGCATCTAGTTCCAATTCACAAGCACGTGATCAGAAATCTTTCACGTTCAAAAGGATTTGTTTCAGTGAGTAATTTACCCTATTTAATAATTTGTGTGCTACAACTAGCCCAGATTCATCTGGCTTCAACTTTCAGCTCATTACACCTCCTCCTACTAAACTGGAGAGCTTTCTGTTTTCTCTCTCCTCTATAGATATTTGTGAAATACAGCTCAGCCACTTCACTTAATGTAGGCATGCTAGGCCTTTTTTTTTTTTTTTTTTTTTTAATTCAAAAAAAAATCTAACAGTGAAACAGGTTTTCCAACTGTAATCGATCTCTCAGCTTTCTGAAAATGCATGTCAGTTTTTTTAAGCATTTTTTTCTAAAGCTGGCACATAAGTACTGGACTCAGCACTCAAGTAATGATTTTGTTCTATTATACACTGGTAATACTATATATTCCTACAGTACACATTCAGCTTTTGTGTCCAAAGACTGCAGTGAGTCTTTTAGTAGTATTACAAGGTCTGTATTTTGTTAGTTTAACTGTAACTTCCCAACTTCTTTCCAATGCAAAACGCTCCCCAGAATGTGGCTAAGTCCTTCCCTCTGCATAATGTACAGAGGTGGACTGGTCTGTGCTAACGTACTACTCAAATAAGTCTATACAATAAGGCATTTAATCTCATGTGAGACAGAGGACATATCATTATTTACCATACCCCTGATCGTTGGTGGCAGTTTCAAATGTAACAAAAGGTAACTTTGTTTAGAATCATTATTGGTGATCCTGAAATAATTTTATCTCAGTTCTTCCAACTCAAAGCTGGCAGTTACTTCTCCCTCCCCTTGCTAATAATTACATTGCCTCATCACTCATTTAAACTCAGTGCCATTATTTCTCTATTTGTGTAATGCGTACAGACATAACACACACATAACAGAAATTCTGGCACAAAATTTGTTCCTCTTCACAGAGGACATTTCATGTCCTCACAAGCAACAGCACAGCATACTGCTGTATACTGCTCCATTCTGAGCACTGGATATGGCATTTTAAACACAGCCTTCACTTTCCCACTCATAGAAAAGATTCATGAGTTAAAATAAATCCTGGGTAAGTGCATGCAGGATTGTGGTTTGTTGCTTGTTTGTTGTTTTTTTTTTCTTTAAAGTACCTAATAAAGCATCAGCAACATTAACATTATGGTTATTAGTTTACTTAATACGATGATGCTCCATTAGACAAAAGATAATATAATTGTAGGCTGGAAATTAACGATGGAAACATGTTGATATAGTTACATGGAGTCATGAAACTTTTTCAAATGTAGGGGCACTGTGTCTACAATACAGTTTAAACAAGTTAACTTATCTCATCTGTATATGCATAATAAACTTTTGCTCTATGCTATCATATCAAATACTCATTATTCCAGTACAAAAAAATGTTTGCTTGTTTATGTATAAACACACACACATTCATACATATGTGAAGTTAAGTGAGTACAACTTGTTAGAACATAGTTCTTCCCATGCTTTGACTCAAAAAGAATTCATGTTAATAGATGAAAATACTTGCACAGTTACACTTTTCTGTCTTTTTTTAAGAGTACAAAAGCTATCTTTTAGACAAACTGCACCAGCATTGTGATGCTGTGCTAGAAAAGCAGCATGCACAAATAGGAACAGGGGCAGAAGTGTCTGAATCCAGTGTCAAAGGAGCCAGAAGTCAGTTGATGTTACAGACTCTGAGATGACTCCCGAAAAGCAAGGATTGTATCAAAACCCAAGTACCCAGTGTGGCTTAGCCCACAAGGATTTATTTAGGGCATGGAAACACTAATACAAATCTGGAAGTGTTCATTTCCTAGGCTAAAGTTTAATAGAACTTTAACTTTTTAACAAAGGTCAAAGTTTCAACACATCTCCTGAGGTTAGCACTGCTTCAGTAAAACCAGTACAGCTATTCACTGAACCCCAGTTGAACAGCAGATTAGTTACTACTCACAAAGCCTTGCCTAGAATATTTAACTGATTAGCTAACAACATACTTACCAGAGCTCATATATTTAAAAAAACTTAATTAGTCAGAGCCTAATAGTTCAGAAGATGTCCAACTTGTCTGTCAGAAGAGCAACAGCATCATCATGCAGTAGATCCTAAGTAGCCAAGCTGAGGACTCTCTTCTCTGATTAAGAGGTTTGGGTTTTTGTTTCAATCCACATCATTAAGTCAAAAGGTAGTAATTTCTTCATTTCCGAGTGCACTAGTATACAAAACAAGAAAAAGGCAGGGTTTTCAGTTCTCACCTGCTCACAGGAAGTTCACACCTCACTGTCACCAACTAAAATATAACAGAAACATCAGCAGCTCCAACCATCTGCTAATCTTTCCCATTCGCTATGAGCTGGCTTCAAACAAACCAAGACATCTTTTCAAGTGTCACTTCCGGGGTTGCAGAAGGCAGCCCAGGCCAGGTAGACAGAAACTCAGATCAAGCACAGTTCTGTCCCAGGAGGACAGCACAGATCTCTCCTCACTACAAAACACGCCTGAGCTTCAGGTCTACTGAGCGTAGGAGATGAGGTCATTGCCTGAAAGGAAAATCCTACCATGGATACACAGCTTAAAATGCTGCTAGCCATTACTCTCTGGCAAGTTTTTGGCATATGGGCATTTTGCAGCTTTTCAAGTATGATCCAAATGACCAAGTAGGCCAAGAGACTGTTTCTTTAAACACCGAATTTCTAATATAGGTTCTAGTCAGTCACTTAGCACTGCATTTGTCTTTTGTGGTTGCGCTTATTTCCTATTTAAGAGAAGGACTGTAATAGTTCCTGGTCTGTCACATTTTCTTCAAATAAGATGTTTCAGCAGCAGCTTCCTCTTGTGATACATTATTCTGCATTGGTGAGCACCGTGTTCGCCCTCATTGTGCTCAGAAAAGCTGTCATCTACAGAAAAGATTTACAGACGTGAGGCAATAAGACAAAAGAGTTCAAAATCCCATTTATGATAGTCTATGGGAATTTTCCCCCATATCTAGATTCATTTCTCCCTTCTCCATCTGCACTTCCCATCTATTTCAAAACAATGAACAAATGTTTCTCTAGCTACACAGACCTGGCACGTTTCATTTTCCTTGTCGTTTAAGAGATGCACACAAACTATTGTGTATTAATAGTAAGAACACTCTGCACTTTGTAAAGCTTTATTCAAAGCATTCTGTGATCTTCCTCTGAAAGCACTAATTTGGCACCTTCACAGTAGATCTGAAGCTTGTATTCTAACTTATTCCACACAGGTGGAAGCTCAGAGACACGGTCAGACTGAAGCAACTGGCTCTTGGTGGAACCATAGGAAGAACTTATGTCCTGCCTTCCCACACTCAAGAACTCATGTCCTGCCTTCCCACACTCATTCTGTATTTCAACATGCCTGACCAACGCTTGCTCCTGCGCTTCCTGCACCACATTTAACTTCAGAAAATGTAGCCTCGTCTTTCCTCTTTTAGTCACTGGCAGAACTTCCCAGACAGCTTCCCCCCCCACCCAAGGATTTTCCAAGGTTAAATAGTTAAATCATTAAGGAATAATTTCACCATCTCTTAAGGAAACTACCTACACAAAAGAAAACATTCTCCCAACATCAATCTATGTGGCTGTGTTTTTGCATTCCAGATAACAGCCACACTAGTTGAGTATGAAAAGCTAATATTAACCTGTTCCAAATGAAAAGAATACTCTCAGGATCTGTTCTTTAAAAATAATATCCTTGGATATGCAAGGGACTGCTAGTCAAATATCACAAAAGTCTCAATTTGTTTTAAACAGGAGAAAAAGAACATAGGTCAGTCCTTTTCTCTCATCTTCAGCTATTCTTCAGGCGCAATTTTTATGTAACTGCACAATTGTATTTTTTTTAATAAGAAGTAAATGTAAGCATACAAAAGAGAGGACAAGCAACCAAAAAAGGATTAACATTATAATACTATGGTAACATCTGAATAAGGAAGTGATTTCAAATTTAACCAGTAATGAAAACCAAAATCACATATGAAAAGAAGGCAGGTCAAATGAGCATAAACTTGTCTTACATTGCAGACATCACAAGAGCTCCTAACTGCACATGACTCACTAAAGCATAAAGAATATTATTTGATTCTCACACAAGGATCCATCACCATGGCACTGGGACACAAAATCCTCAGTCTTGTTTCAACAAAAATACTTCAGTCACACAAGATAATACCTCATCATTAACCACTGCCAGCTATGGTTTTCCTAAATGATGGCCACTACTACTTTTACTCAAATCTCACACAATAACAGGTCTCACCAGCAACTGTTGGTTGAACTTCAGATTAATCTACTGATGAACGCTATGTATCTTGAGGCTAAATTAAACACAAAATAGGGTTCATCTCCTTTCTTTCTCTCAGGAAGTCTTAAAACCACAAAGCAGTCCAAGACTCCCCTCTCACTGCGGTATTCAGAGCATGCCATCCTACTTCTTTCATTCTCTCACACCATGCCCAGAAATAGGAGAGAAACAAGAACACACTCTGACACAGCTCCAACTCCCAACCCAAAACTCAAGAACAGCTGGTCTCCCCAATTAAGTGATCCATGGTATGTGTATCCATCTATTGCTAGAGAGAGAATGCAGAATCCCCTTGAGGGATACTCAGTGTAAATGGAACGTTTCCAGGGAGCAAGGTTCATCCAAAATCCTATTAAAGGCAGAAGTTTTACAGGAAGATGCACAAACATACTCCAAGCACGTTTGTCACTCAGTAAAAGCTGGTTGGATATCCTAATAGTGTTGTCAGAGTTCTACCTCAATTGAGATCTGCTTGTGAGAGTGATGGTCTAAGTAGTTCAATTTCAGAGGACACTCTCAGGAGAAGACTTCTCCCTCCATTAAGGCTACAAAAGAACATTATATTACTTTGTTTTGTTTGTTTGTTTTTTAAGTAACAAGCTAGCAGAGGAAAGCGGAGAGAAAAAGGAGAGTTTCTTCTTCCAAGTTGTCTACTTAAGAAATCTGGAAGAAGTTTAAGCATGACACAGAAGACTACTAATTTGCCTGTCTAAAACACACTGATGAGGAGAAGGGCTAGTGGATGTATACTTTTCCTTTTGTAAGCAGCAGCGTGTAATCAGAATGATATTCACATTTTCAAACTAGAAATGAAGAGGATTGAAGTGACACCACTACCTGGGTAAAATCTATCTAAGCCTACAAAAGACAGATTCAAAGAAGAGTATTCCCTAGCCACAAAAAGATGGCTTTGGTGGGAGGCTTCCATGCCTCCAGCTCCCACAGACTGCCTGGGCTGCTCTAAGCACATTCCTTAAGTCACAAATGGGCAGTGAGATGCATAAAAAGAGTGTGAGTAAAACATCCCTGTGGAAACAAAGGCATTGACCTTTTTAATCTCCAAGAGGTATTCAAATACTATACTCACAGGCAATCGTTAAAATGACTCATTAAAGTAGCATACTGTTAAGGCTCAGCATTTGAAAGCAAAAGGCTAATGAAGTACTCAAGCAACAAGCTTTTTTACCTCTTGATAAAATGGAAGGGGAAAAAAGAACCCAGCCCTGTTTGCACACTTTGCAGACAAATTCCCTTTGAAGTTTAACTTTTTTCTTCCTGTTTAACAAAATTACTTCAACAAAATAAAAGTTGGAAATAACTCTACTAAGAAGAAAAAAGGTCCGCTATTCCTTATTGGTAAGCAGCACACAGACAAAAACAAACAAACAAACAAACAAAAAGCCCACAGGAAACTGAGAGCTATTAATTTAGTTTTAGCCAAGTTTTTATGAGACTGTACATTCTGACTATTAGTTGATGCTACTACGCAACTGTCTGGCACACAAACCCATAAAAACTAGACCAAAAAAAAAACCAAAAAGCAGCAACATTAAATTTTTACCTTCAAAAAGAACACAAGTGGCATGAATACAATTCTCTAGAAAATGCTACTTAGCAAAAACAAAACAGCCGTTCCCCCACATATATGCAATGTTTAAAACAAAGAATCCAAAGATGTAATTATGGTCACACAATCCCCATCTAGAAAGTATAAGCTGTTCAATTTAGGGAGTCAAAATCCTTTAAGCATTATCTCTAATGACACTGTGTACCCCACTTCCTCTCATAATTTTTTGTTTTCAGGTCCTGAGAGGATGCTAGCTATCGCCTTTACCAAGGATCTGAAAGAAGGTGTGAAGTCACTTGTCTGCACAGAACACACAACCTCAAGCAACAGTGAGCAATAACGGAATCCAGTTACTTTCTGGTAAAGGCTTTTTCTGTTTATGTATAGTTTACCCAAACAGCAACTAGTTTTAAACACAGCAATTATGCAAAAGTTACAAACTTATATGAATAAAAAGAGGATCACAAGAAATACCCCTGGGCAACAATGTAAAAAGCCTGCGGGTCATAGCAGGCACAATCTAGACACAGAACTTCCTGTACAATCCTGCAGCTAAGCAAGGAAATGTAGCCACTGGATGGATAAGAACACGATTTTGTATGAGGTAGGGTGGGAGGGAGAGCTATTATCTAAGATAAACAGCAGCAAGAACAACACGCATTTCTCTTCTGTTCACCGAAGAAAAGAAAACACCACAAGAATAGCTAAAGATTTAAAAAACTAAGCAGCAGCACATTTTATACTGAGAGTTAAAGAGTCAGCGTATTTGCTTTATCCAAGAGGATAACGGCTATCAGTGACTCAGTGACAAAATGGCTAGATGTCTCTACAAAAATTTACTCAAAAGATAAAGAATGTATTAGTCAAAACTAAGCCCAAAAAGATGCTGCTGGGCAAAGAAAACATTTTGAAGAGTTTAGAATTAATCTCCTCTATGTAATTACAGTTAATTGATACGATGTGCAGTATGCCCAGACATTTATCAGCAGCAAGCTGGCAAGATGCAGTATCTACAAGAAACACTTCATCTCATCCAGCTGACTAAAGCTGTGTCCCATTCCTCTGGTGTTTACATCTTCCCCACTTTGTAGCAATGCCATACATTGGACATGCAGATCTCTGCAGCAAGGTAAAGCCGGCCCGTTTAGCTCTTGAAAGACAACTTCAGAAGCAGAAGCTGTTCCCTGTGCACTACTGAAATAGTAAAACCAAAGTTCACCATTCCAGGTCTTTAACATTCTCTATGACCTCAACTCAAGGTATTTAAGGATATTCCCAGTGCCCCAGGACAGACTGCAAGCCACAGCTCTGCTGCT